TGGTGGCCAATCTCAGGGGAGGGCACATGTCCCCCATGCCCCCCCTACCAGTCACCTATGTCCTCACCCCCTTGCACTGGGTGCTGCCTGGTAGGCTGTGGACACTCCTGGGGGGAAGGCAGCAGGGTGGGAAGCCCCAAATCCACAGCAGACAGCTCTCTCCCCCCCTCCCTCCAGCCGCGTGGCCCATGGGGGGAGTAAGCGAGGGTGGAAGGGAGCTTGCTCTGTTCTGGCCAAAGCAACCACCACTTTCCCCGGGGGTGGGGCAGTGACAGCTGGGACTAGGGTGCTGCAGGGGGCTGCAGGCCCTGGCCCCAGTCGCATAGCCTTGGCAGCTTGAGGCTCCCTCTGGCAGGGCTGGGGGTGGGGGCAGGGACTGTGGGTTGCAAGCAAGGGGCACCAGCAGGGGTGGGGGCAGGGACTGCGGGTTGCAAGAGAGAGGCACCAGTGGGGGTGGGGGCAGGGCAGCCAATTATGTTTGAATCTGTTCCAGGAGGTTGTGTCACATGATGTAATGTCCTTAATTACTTTAGGTCAGGAAGACAAATGCATGTTACTATTGCATTTAAACCCCCCTGGACTACCCTATAAATCAGATTAAATATTTCATGTTGATTTTAATGAACGCCCTATCATATCTCTCCCAGGTGACTCCCAGCAGGCTCCTGGAGATGCAGCGCTCATTCCTAGAGACGCCTGGGCAATCCCGGGGGGGGGAGGGGCACGGGGCCGTGCTGAGGAAATGGGATCAGCACTGCGAGGAGCTGAGGGCGGCTGCTGTGGGATACGGCAGGGCCCCTCACACCCAGGCCAGCGGCGGGTGATGTTGTGGAGGCCGGAGCAGCCCGAGAGCGGGTTCCGGAGGTGGCCGCAGGCAGGCACTGGGGCCACCGCCCTCTCGCCAGGCCCGGGTACACGTTTACCGGGAGGCCCCTCCCCGCATCGGGGCACAGAGCCGCGCGCGGTCCCTCCCCACCCACCTGCGGGTTACGGTCGCGGTCGAAGGGGTCGGCGATGTACATGTCGAAGCCCTTGTCCAGCAGCCCCCGGGCGCCGCCGGCGATGCGGGAGCCGCGGGCCGACAGCCCCGGAGCGCCCTCCCTGCCGCTGCTCATGCTGCTCCCGGTACAACAAAGACGGAAAAGACGGAACCGGCTTGACCTGGCCTGGCCCCGCCCACCAGCCCGCGCTGTCCTCAGGCGACCGCCCCTCAGCCCCGCCCCCCCGCGCCGGGCAGTGACGGGGCGGAGCCCTTCCCGCTCTCAAGCCGCCGCCCGGGAGAGCCCACCGCGTGACTTCGGGGCTCGTTAGCACCTCCCCGAATCCGGCCCTGCTGCTGCTCCGCCCGCTGCTCCTCGCAGCCAGGTGGCCTCTTCTTGGCTCCGGCCCTGCTGGAAGCCTCCCCCGGGGCGGGGCAGCACGTCTTCGCGGATAACACAACGCACATTTCGTCCCCCCCTTTAGACTAGAAGCTTTACGGATATGGCAGGGCGAGGCCTGCATTATTTACTTTTAGAGTAAAGCAAACCCCAAGGCTACCTCGTGAATCCGAGTGAGAGAGATACCTTCAGCTACCAGGATTACAGGACTAATGTTCTGATAGCCTTTGACTTCTTTCTTTTTTGCCTGGTTTGTTGCATTTTCTTTTTAAACTGGACATGTAGTCTAGCAAACTCACGCATGTTCCAGTAGTTCGGTTGGTGCATTGCTTTGCTCTAAAACGGAATAATGCAGTGCTAGCCCCCTACCATATCCATAAAGCTTCTAGTCTAACTGGAAAAAAAGTGTGTTGCGTTATGTGATGATGTGCCACTGTCTGCACTCTGTTTTTTCAAAATCCATGAGCAGGGCATGGTCCAAGTCTGGATGTGGCCCAGGTTCAGAGCTGCATCCCAGGCCTGCTCCAGACCCCCTGTGCCAGGCTGGGTCCCAACCAGATCCTTTCAGGTGTGAGCCTGAGGTCACTGCCCTCAGGGCTGTTGGATGCAGGGAACTAGTGCAAAAAACATTCGGCCTGCTTCCCAGAGCAGCACTGAGTGCAAGTGCTTAACTTGGGACCAGAGAAGGGCCCTATTCTGATCCATCTGAAGCGCACACATTCACACAGGGCTCCATCCCATTGCTCTGTATGCACCTAAATGGTTTGAACATAGGAAATGGCAGGTCCTGATGCTTGACACTGTCTGCACTCCAGCTGTGCCTGGACAGGCTAACTGAGCACACGCACTGTGGCTGCAATCAAGCTAGGCAGCTGCCTGCCAAATCAGGAGCAGCCACGCAGCCTGTAGGTTTGGTAAGTCTCAAAATTTGACTTGCAGCCAAACCATGACTAATAGGTATGAAGAAAAGGAGCAAAAGCTGCCACCTTTTACTCTAGAGGTCTAGTAGTTGCAACACCTACTCAAAGGTCAGGACAAGCCTTGAACCCGCTTCCTGTCAGAGACCCAGGGTCTTCACCCTTCCTCTTGAAGCTGACCCACTGGGAAGCCAGAAAAGGGAGACTGTGGGGGCCAGGAGCAAAAGAGTAAGCCAGAACACCTGCAGGGTTATGTTATTTTGCCATAGGAGGAACTGAAATCCCAAACAGTGTTTAAGTGCCAAAAACTACAGTTACGTAGCTGCACATGTGCTATTTAGGCACGTAAATAAAAATCGGATTGAGACACTAATCTCTGACCTATTTTTCCTCTTTTGTAAAATGGGGTCAATATGTATTTCAGAAAAAGTATTGAAAGAATTCAGTATTTACAAAGTGTGCTGGTTTTCTAGTTTGAAGTATGTATGCAACAAGCTCTTCTGGCTTTAATGTAGGGCTGAGCCAATATAATTTAGGTTTAGAAACTAAAATCCCTAAAATATGATGAACCACAACATAAGCCTCATTCATTTTTAATTTGATTAAACTGTATGCTGAACTCCATACCTCTAAAGCAGCTGGATTGGAATGGGAACTAAAAGGATGGGACTTTTCAGTAAAGAGATCTTATCTTTCTGTCTTCTGAGACATATACTGTAAGTCATAAAAATATCTAGATACAAAATCTTTGTATTGACTGTAGTTATCTGAATCTCTACTCCAGGATTAATAGGGGATAGTTAGTGCCTTCCTGCTATCTGGAGAAGGCTTGACAAGGAGAAAAATGTAGTGTGATGGAAACTAGGAGGGGTGTTGTACTAGGATTTAACAAAGCCTGGATGGGTCACCTCATTCCTTTAATTAAGCTGTTGGTTTTAAATTGTAATGCTAAGCAATATATTTTCCTGTTGCTAACTTTGGAACTGGATGTACTCCCTGCTGCTTCAGAGCCAGCAGAGGTGCCTTGCAGCTGTCTTTTATCTTCACTTTTTTGCTGCTTTGCACAATAATACAGGTGCTATAGGTAAGCTTGGTGTGTGGAGTGTAGACAATAATGCCGTGTAGACAGGATGGCAGTGGTATTCTGAAAGCATAAGTCAACATGGGGGAAGAGGCATGTGTTGACACATACAGCTAGACTAATAATCCTGCAAGACCAAAGGAAGGAAAAAAAGTTTTATTATACTGCTTCAAAGACTTCCAGTTCTGTTTGTTTAATCCATATCTGTACTTAAGGACATTTGCTTGTGTTAAAACAGGAACACCATTATTTTGATCCCTTTTTAACACCTAAAGTACTGGTATTTTGTACTGCAATCAAATTTGGCTTGCAGGTATTGGAGACATTTTATTCTTGCAGTTGTCTTAGGGTTAAACTTTCCTCAGCTGCTGACAGTCGAGACTCTTATGTACCAAAGAACGTCTACAGCTTTCTAATACCCAAACAAGGTCACACTGTACCAGTTATCTAATTTTTACATAATCAGGGCAACATAGTTATGATATACCATCCTTCTAAGTAGCACTGAGGCATTTTTAGATGGTTTGGAAGAAGCCTAGTAGTAAATGTTTGGATTTTCATTGGATTTTCAATTAGAGCAGCTCCACATTTCCAGTGTGATCCCTAATGAGAAGAAGCATAGAGCCAAAGCTGTCAGAGAGCTGGATTATTATCTAAACTATACTTTTGTAGCAGTTACACTGTGACGCTGGAAAGATTTTGGAGACAGTTTAGATTAGAATCTCTTGCTCAGGGATGGGCAGAATATGACCCATGGGCTAGATCCAGTTCACCAAGTGACTCCATCTGGCCTGTGGTGGGTTCTTTGGCCCCACCGAGACAGCCCAGGCAGTGGCATGTGCGGCTAGTCCTCTGGGTGTGGAGGTGCTTCCTGGTGCACAGCACAGCCCACCCTATCCCTACATGTGGCTCTCGGGCACTTGGGGAGCTGTAGTCTACTGGGCTGGGCACCACAGCAGAGGTGGCCAGATTTGGCTTCCTGGCAGCCCCCATTGCAGCAGCTCTGCCATGAGTGCCAATTTCGTAGTCAGGGGCTCGCTACTGTCTGTGGAACTGGCACCTGTTGCAGGGACATGTAGGGATTGGATCATGTCTCTGCCCTGGCCCTGGTCCCATGCTGTCACTGCCCTGCAATCCTGGCCCCAGCTCTGCCTAGCTGTCCTGCTCCTGGATGCTGCTCCCTACCCACCTGTGATCCCATCCCATCCTCCCCGCCAAGTGTACCCTGCCTGTGGGAGTCCTGGGCAGGACTCCATGGAGACCCCACCTGCCTGCTTCCCCACTGGTGGGTGTGGGGTGGATGGGCCCAGATAGGATAAATTGGCATCTCCCCCACCCCACCCCCTCTTGCCCC